GACACCCTTCGAGTATTTCGTATTTTTCGACCGGAAGGAAGTATTTACTAAGGCTAAAAAGTAGTTTTTCATGATCAGCAGCTCAAGCTCTATCAAATAGTGTAAAAAAACGTAGAAAAAAATTTTTACTGAAAGTTTGAATTGCCTGCACCTTACAAAAAATTTACATTTTTCGATTATTTCGTTGAAAAAAAATGAGGTGATAAATTGTGTTCCGATGGTTTAGATATCATACTGGTAATAGTTAGGAACAGAATTTTGATATAGCTTTGTAGACCCTTCCTTTGGCGACTCTAGTGCACTCTTGAAAATCAATAAATTAAAATCGGGACCATAAGAAGCATGCTGTTTTTTTCTTGGAGTTTTATGTAAAATCTATAGGAAAGTAGTTAGAAAAATCTTTCTATATATAATTCGATGCGTCTTCATCTGCTCTATCCAACGGTGAAAATCGTAGATCTCTATCTCGTTCCTATTAAAAGTTATTCAAAAAATGCCCACGACCATTTAACTCTGAAATGGACAATATAGTAGTTCAGTTTTGAATTTTATTCAGATAAAAATTTATATTTAAGACGTCAACAATTATAAGACATGATCGATTGATCAAGTTATTGATGTTTAGCAAAAAAGAAAAAAAAAACTCAATGCCAGTGTTTTGACTTGATCGAGGTTACACAATAGTTCATTGATATTTGCTGTCGATAATTAAATAAATTATTTTAATTAGTTAATGAAGCTAGATGAGTTTCAAGTTTAGCCGCCGTAAGGACTGAGCTAACAAGCTGTTTTTTTTTATGCTGATTTCAAACATATCATTTGTTTTGATAGGCGAAACTTGGATTATTCTAACAAAAACTCGTCAAATATCATTAAAAAAAAACGACAAATTTTGATACTTATGAACAATGAGAAATTTCTATCATGAATATCCTTTGATTGTATACATACCAATAAACAATCTTAACTAAACAGCAAAATAAAAAAAACAATTTTTTGATCATGTTTCCTATATACTATTCTATAGTGTCAGAAAAAGAACTTTCATTTGATATATTAGTTCAATTAAAGGAGCTGAAAATAAGACAGATAAACTTTCTATGTAAACACTAGTTTTCCTAAAGCTATAGGATATCGAGTTATGATTTAGTTGCCTACAGCTCGAATGAAGGTTAACAATCTAATTCGAACAGCAATTAATTTTTGACATCTTGATTGCCTATTTGAAAAATAAGAAACTCAATGTTGACACGAGGTTGGTTTTATTACTTCACGACCTCCGTCATTTGACTAGGTAATTATAATTTTGTTTATTCTTATCGTTACCTTTTGTAATGACACTTACATTTTGTATTAATAAAAATACTTTTCTTTTTCTGAGAAATACAAACGAATGCTATATCGTTCAAACTATAACAGTAAATAAAATTTCTTTTATGAAATCGAAACTATTATTAAAACTTTTTTATATTGTTCTCTTATTATCGAGCCAAAAAAAAATCAATTGATCAATGATTAAATACAGAAAAATTTTACTTACAAAATTAGATTTATACTTATACTATGTTTTGTTACAATTGATGTATAATTCAAAGTATCAAATAAAAATAAAAAGAATTCCTAAAGCATATTTCTAAAGAGTACTCATCAAAATGTCAATCGAAGTAGTATAGTTATAACATACTTGTTATTAACATCTTAATTTTTGAAAATTTTCTGCTAAGAAAAATCAAAATAGATTTTCGTAAAGAATAAATGATTGTTCTCGAAATTTATCATTGCTATATAAAATCTACACTAGTGTAAAGAAATATTTATAAATATTCTTCTTTGATAATTTACTAATTCGAAGAAAGAATATATCAAAGTTTTGTTTTTTTTGTAAATTGAAAATAAATGGTATTGTTTATCATAGCAAAAAAACTACGATACAATGATATGTGTCCTAGAGTTTTTCAAGGTCGTTGAGATTGACAAGAGTAATGTTTGAATGTATTTTTGAGAGTTGGTAAACACCGAATAAAAAAAAATGCATCAAAATGTTGAAAATTAGTTGAAGGAAATTTTTCAAGATTGTAGAAAGATGATTTCTCTCATTCGTGGATATGATAATGTTTTTCTTAACTGTAAATACTACTTTATGAATATTATCAGAAATATTGAATAAACAATAACTATAGATTATCTATTGATATCAATAAAAGTGTAGTATAGGAATGTTTAATATTATTTATCAAAGTAATCGATAGTGAAGATATGTTTCGTTCATTTTAATAATTTTTCTGCTTTATTGATTATCAATTATACACATCACAACATTTCATCGAAATCCCATACATCATCAATTTTCTATTCAAAATCAATGTCAATATGTAATAGACATTGTGCTTGAAGGTATTCTTAATTCTTCTAGAATAGCTTTCATTTTCTTTATTTTATTTTATTTTTTCTTGTTTATACATCATACATTGACCATGAAATGGCATCGTTATTTGTTATTAATTACATATTACTTTTTCGTCATTTTTCTTTTACCTTTTTTTTTTTGCTCCTTTGTGGTGATTGATAGATAGTGTTTTTTAAGATTTATCAGTATGTCAGAAGGTCATTTATTATAGATATATTTTATTAATTTATTTATCATTTATGTAACATAAAAATTCCAGTCTCTTCTATATCCATATGTATTTATTTTATGTTTGTTTGTCAGAAATAAAACATGGCTTAGATATATTATGTATATATATACATATATTCTTTATCATATTGGCAAGTTATTATTTTCCTATTTATGTCGAAATGTCATATTTAAGTGATTCATTATTATAGAATAATAATTATTATCACCTGCCTTAGTAATTATCTTGTAGATTTACATAAGTATTTTAGTAAACATCCGTATCAATATATTTGTTTGTTTGTTTTTTTTTCATACGTCTTTTTATGGACTTGTAGAGGGAGAGTTTTCATTATATCTTTTGCCAATTATCTCTTGTCATGAAGTATGTAATCAATATAACATGTTATTTTATGTCCTATTTCTCTGTTAGACAGACGATACTCACATTCCATCTGTGTTGATAATATTTTGATCTTATAATACTATTCTTCAAAATAAACTCTCATTTATCATGTATTCTTGTTGTCTCTAATTTCACTAGTCACGTCCATATTATCATCCAAAGAACTAAGAATAATAAGAAAAAGCAGCATAACGGAGAAAAAAAGACAAACCACTGAGTAAGAGATTCGATTAGCAACTCGGCATTTTTTTCTTTCTTTTTTTTTCTTCTCTTCTCCTTCGTTTTTTCTTGTTGAGCAACTGGTCATGTTTATTCCCCATTCTAGTCATCAAATACACGCACATGCTGGTGGTTTTATTCGTGACATTTTGTAAAAAAAAAGAAAAGGTAAACATCAATGAAAAAAAAAAAAAACATTTTTTTTAAAGCTACAATAGACTTGAAAAATGTTTGAAGAATTTTATGCGACAACTATGATCTTTATTTGTTAATCTCTTCAAATGTCGATATTATATAAAATGAAAAATTTTATATTCATCTATTGATGTCATAATTAAATTGAATAATATTAAGAAAACCGCATTTTTATTTTTATTTTTTTTTGCTTCAGCTGATAAGATCGTATGTTTATTATCTGTTCTTTTCTTCTAGTTTTATATTTTGTAATTGTATTTAGATTTGATCATATATAGAAATAGAAAAAAACAAAAGTTCGATCATATAGACCTATATACCAAAATATGGCCTATTGTTCTAGTATCTATTCGTATCATTATTATTATCTATGAAATAATAACAAATGGAACCTTAATTCATGCGATGAAAATACTTTTATGTGTCGATAGATGAATATGCATATTTTCTATGATATTGCTGTATGATAAATTCTCTTCGGTATTTTGTCTGTATTTAGACAGGCAGCTAGAATACGACATTTATTTTGGCTACTGTTAATAAAGACTGCAAATAGAGAGAAAGAGATTCTGTCCTTCACGTACTTCTTCGATTATGTATGCTGTGCTAGATATCCTTGAAGATCACAAAATTATGTATAGAAAGCAAATGATGAGATATGTATCTATAGCATATATGTATACGTATTTATTTGATTGCAAAAATTTATCCACCAGAAGGTTATTGACAAAAATAATGTCAATCTTGATAGAGACGCTATATGTATAAACAATATCGAATACAGATATATGTCACAACAATTATAAAAAGAACGGCATAGTGGAATAGACAACAACAGATGAGTCTAGAAAAACAAAGAATTAAGATGAAGAACAAAAAAAAACAACGACTGAAATACAGTCGCGTTTCTCATTTTTCTCCACTTATTATTATAAATCGACACTCTATGACATACTTGTCTGCAAGGTGAACGATGATGCATATTTGATTTGACATATATTATAGATAGATTACTCGTAACTGATTTCAAATCATTATGTTTATAACGATTTTATTTTACCTTTTCCGATATATTTCTATCATGAATCGATCATGATTAAATTCTTAAGTTTGATTACATATAAAGAAATAAAAGTGAGTGACGTTAAATTATACATTTAAACGTGCCAATATATCATATTAGATTATTGCTAATAAATGATCCTCTGTATCTTGTCTTAAACGAGAAAAATTAATCGAAGATTACACTGATCAGTACAAACAAAACTGAGCTATGAAGAAAGAAGAAAAAAAAATAGAAAAAAAAAAAAAAAAAAAAAAAAGAACACTTGAGAGACAGAAAGACAAGCACGAATGAAGGTCGTTATATAAGAAAGAGAAAATGATGCATGTGCAGGCGTGTAAAATAATTTTGCATAAAAAAAAAACAACTTATTCATATGATTAACTTATATTTCCTTTTCTTTTTCTTGCCATTATTTTATGATCATGTTTTATAGGTAAAAAAAGAAAATGTTCATTCAATGTTTAACATAGAAGTTGTATTAAATCAAATATTAACTATATAATATTTTTTTCAAAATATGATGTTTATTAAATATTCTATATGGAGAATTTTTATGGTATTGCTTTTTTTCATAAACATCATTGTTACCAATGGTATTTATCGAGAAAATCTTGCATTACGTCATCCATGCAATACAATAAATAAACGTCTTATATCATATATAACATGGACAGAAAAACTTGCCAGTAGTCAATATAAAGGTAAGATATTACATTTATTCTTAACGTGTTATTTTACACGTATTAATATTTTCATTGGTAATAAAAACTAACAGAGTACATCGTATATATATATATACATAACTGTGTACACAATAAATAAAAAATGTCTTCGTATTGCAATAGATTTTTTTGAATATAAAATTCTCTATAGAATATATTAATCATTAATCAGCAAAGATAAAATATATCAGATTTTTGCAAGGAATAAAAAAGAAGAAGAATGAAATGAATGTATTTTTTGTACAATTAGATGTCATGTATATAGCTAAGGATTCAATTATCATGATTAATCTCGTTTGTAAAATCTAAATACATTCTTTGAAGGATTCATATTAATCAACTTTGTATGATTTCTCAAATAAAGGAAAAAGAAATTCTACAGAACAATTTCAACACTTTGTCTCTCTTTTTTTTTTCGAATATAGGAAAGTGTATCGAAATGTAAGACAACCAAGTTTTAATTAGCAAAAAAAAAAATCTTTCTATTAATTTTAGTTCAAAAAGATGCTTGTGGTCAGATTGGTATTGGACCAGCATGTTGTACACATGAAATTATTAATTCTTATGCAACATCACTAACAAATGAATTTAAAAAAATACTCGATGTTGAATTAAATACTTTAACGACATTACTTTCAAAATCAAAACAACAAATTGATGGTAAGTCAATATTATTGTTTATACAATCTTGAACAAAATTTTTTTTTTCAAGAAATTACTATATATTTTTGATTGAGAATTTATTTTAAACGTACAGTCATTGTCTAACACCGTAGATCTTCCGGCACACATTAGAATAAAAAATTAAAAGTTTAATTTTTTGCTTTTTCATGATTTAAATAGAATAATATATACCCTAGCCTATGGGTTATTTAATGGCATTAAAAGCTTTTGTTCGTCTTGTTAGCATTAGTAGGAAAACAAAAAGAAGAAACATCACTACTCAGAGACTACAAGCCTATTTTGACTATGATTAGAAAATAGAATGAGACAACATCCTTGAGAAAATTATATATAATCTGTAATTGTGTATTTTATTCTATTGATTCGGGAAAAAAAAACTTCCGCTTTTATATCTATTTGAGATTTGAAAAACAGAAAATCATTCTTCTTTAACGTTGAGTGCTTTTTACGGAAAGATGTGCTCAATATAGTGAGTTTGTACAGGTTTCTACAACTTCAAATCAAGCGAAATTAGTACAAAATGCTCGTTTACGTATAAAATTCATAGAGCATTAACGCGAATGTTCGAGAGCGGAACTATAGGTTTTCCAGGAAAGCATTCATTATCAAGATTAAAATTATGTTTTCTCAATACGGAAATATTTTTATTGAAGGTTTGTGAGATCTTTATCCAACTATACTCTACTTTTTATCTGTCTATCTATATTTCTCTCTCTTTCACACAACAACGTAACGCTATATATAGAGTAATAACAAACAATGAACAAAGGAGGAAAATATCCATAAGACAACGTGAAAGAAAGAAGAACGAATGAGAAAGTGCCAACATATAAGAAAGAAATGGAAAGTCATTGGTGTATGACTAACAAAAGAGAAAAGAAGCAGAGCACAAGCTTATATGTATAAAAGAGGGAAAACCCTTATGACTGCATCTGAAGAAGATACAGGTCATAACAAGGTTAACTCTATATTTGGAATCAGCATCGAATGATGTATAGCTTATTACTCTTATAAAAATTTATTCCACTTAGTTAGAGTGTATGAAGTCTCTTACAGTGACTTTTCAGCTCTAACAAGTAATTTATTTTCTGATTATATTGACATTTTACAGAATTGGACGAGTTATTGAAAGAGTTTTCTATGGCAATTTTTGTAGTTGAAATGTTTTGATCTAATTGTAGTAGCATTCAATCTAGACTAATCTAAGTTGTGTAAGCTAGAAAATAATATATAGCATTAAATTATATTAGCTTCAGAGGCTCGATTCATGCTACTTACAAACAACGAATTAGACTCGAGTCATTTATTTTTAAAATGATATGATTGAGTTTATGATATTAATATAATTATATTTCTACATATCATTTTAGCTATAAAAAGTTCTATGAAACTCTTTAACACTTTCGGAATAGTAGTACATACGTTGTACGACCTATTTTTGAGTAAAGAAAATATCTGGTTACCATTAAATTGTTGTGGATTGTAAGGTAATAGATTACTCTGTGTACCATCTCATGTATATCTTTTCTTTCTGTCACATAGATCCTTTTCAGATATTTTTCTTGATGTATTTTCATAAGTGTTAGAGTTTGCGCTCGTGAAAAGCGACGAACACTGTTAAAGATGTATGTATTTTCTTCTCTCTATTTATCCTTTGAAAAAACCAATGTTTATATACGAACATAAAAATAAGGACAAAGGAAGAATTGAATAGAAAGGTTAATCAAGGACAAAGAAGAGCAATAGAAACGAAAATATCAAAGAAAAGAGAACAGATAGAATCGAGGTATATGTAGTTAAAATACACTGTAACAATAAGTGTTTTATGCAGCCATTTTTGAGCCGAACTCAGTAAATGGTTTGAAGAATCACTTTTCAATTGAAAAATAATTCCGTCGTCAAAGAGTTAAACGATACGCTCAACTCTGATGATAAAAAGTATATTGATTATAAAATAAGATGTTTCGAAGAGGAAAAAGAAACGAATTTAGTATTGTCGTCAATTTTTACTTGAAATATATATTTATAATAGCTTGGTCAAAAGAATATATCACAGAATTACATCGTTTAACAATATCTTCACTTGAAACATTATTTGGTATAAAAGAATATCGTTTAAATATTGATCAATCATTATCAACTCTATTCAATACTCTTAGTAATAGTCAATCATCAGTTGATGATGTATCAAAATCAACTATGAATTTATTTAATCATTTAATTATATCATTATATAGACGTTTTATTATAAATAATGATCAAATTATATTGAATGATAATTTTCAAAAATGTATTGTAAATAAAGCATTTGATATGGATGCATTACCTAAACAACGTGAATTACTTTATATATTGACAAGTACTTCATCATTAATTCAAATATTTTATACAATGCTCATTTATATTGATGCAGATATTCAACGATTAAAAACAACAGTTACATCAAATTCAAAACAATGTATACAACGTTATGCAAGAGAAGCATTATGTCCATTATGTATTCATACATCATCTTCGTTTAATCAAATCAATAATAATGATAATGTCAATGAAATTTTATGTAAAAATGATTGTCGATATATAATTAAGACATGTGTCAATCAAACAAATGACCCATATATGGAATTTGCTTTAATTGCTAAAAATTATTCTGATATTATAAAAGAAATTGAAAAAGCTGCTATTGAACTCAAAGTAAGGTCATGTATAGTGAATATTAAATGAAAAAAATTTACTATTTATTTTCTTTTAAAGCTTGTTGAACATCTTGCAAAATTACATATTTATTTATATGATATGGTTGTTAATGCTACTAATAATCGATATTTATATATGGAACTTCAAGCTGCTTGTCCAAATAAAAATATGAAATCTTTTAGTCCTATACTTTCTTTACCACCAACTATGACTGAACGACGTGAACTTGTATTTCAATGGAATAGATCATTACATTTCTTGCTCAAACGAACTCAATCATCAATGAATAATCTTGATACAAAATTTACAAGAAAACTAACTACAGGTATTTGTTCCAATTCAATTTATGCTTCCAAGTCAGATCGATGTACACGAATTGATAAACAAACTACCAAGTAAGTAAATTGATTTGACATTATTTCATATAACATATGATAATAGTAATCATATAGCGTAGCACAAGCAGAACAGTAAATAGTATGAATATATTTGGGTATTTTTACATGTCATTTGCAATTGATATCACGTATAATCTTAATGTGTATAATAAGTAGAACAAAAATAATGTTTTATTCACCCTTTCTATTTCGAACTCTGAAGAAAAAAAAACGAATCGATTGTTTCTGATAAAAGAAAACGAATTATTCTTGATGTAATAAATATTAGCTTCGAGAAGATGAACCTAAAGCATGCGAGAGTACTACTCATTTAGTCTCATGCTAAATAAAACATTGAATTGAGGAATCGTAAACTAATATTGAAAATAAGTCAGTCTATCAACATTCTTTTCACTCTATTGAGAACGGTATTGTAAATTAATGTGTCACGTTCATATTTTCATTTCATGTATTGTATCTATCATGAAAATAAGACTACCAACAAAACCGCAAGGAACTCATAAATTTTATTTTGTATATTTATATCTATTCTGTAGATTTAGATCAATGATTTTGATGCCTGGATGTGTAAATTTCCAGTAGAAACCTGCCGGAATACTAGAATTCGCTAGTTAGGATTTATTAATTTCACTCGGAGCCAACCGTTATTAGGTAGAGTTTTTGAGTTCACGACTTTCGGTTGTACTCTGTTCATCTGGAGATATCTCAAAGTTTCATTAAATTCTAATAAAGCATTTATTGATGATTAATATAGATGTTCAAATTAGTTTCTACTTCATTTATGACATAAACCTGCAGATATTTAATACGACAAAGTCCAAACTTATCTAGAGCAGCAATATATGTGATTTCTTCCTACACATTTACCCTAAAGCCTAATTCATGTTAATGTTTTTTTCGTATGCGTCGATAAAATCATCATACATATGTCACTTAAAATAGTCGTAATAAGAATAGCATCGGGTTTACATAGTAAAATATATTAAGATCACTTTGGTTGTACCAAAAATCGATAAATAACAAACTGATACAGAAATTATTCTTGATAGTCAATTTTATACAAAAAAAAATAAGATTTCTCTTTGCATATGAATGTATGAAAATTTTAACATAATTTTGTTTCTATACATAACAGTGTAATTCAATGGCCACTTCCATCTATCTCAGAGCTGACATTAAATACCAATAATGTAGAATTGACACGAAATCAACTTGATGAATTAAAAAAAAAGTTAAAACCTATACGACAAATAATAACATCTCTTCAACCGAAAAAAAAATATTCATTAATACAATATATACCGGATTTTGAATCATATAATGATGATATTAGTATTATTGATTATGATGCAGAAATATCAGCTTCATTAGAAACTTATGATACAGATAATCAAGGATCACTTAGTGAACGACTTTACAATGAAATAGATGGACAAACTACACGTATATATATATACAAATATATTTTGTTTTGCTTTATTTTTTCTTCTTCAAAATGAAATATTTTTATTTAGGTCTATCAATTATTGCTACTCGTATATATATTCAAGAGAAAAAATTTAACAATGGTGAATTATTAACATATAATTTATCATTATATTTAATAATTTTTATTATTTATCGAATTTGACTTGTTATTAGTCAACGAACAAAATGTAAAATGATAAGCTTGTGAAATTTTATTTTTCATGTTTTTTTGTATAGTGATATGTTGACATTATCCATCCAATACTTCGTGTTTATTATTGTCTTATGCTTGTTTTTGTTAAAGTATCCGGTGTTATGTCCTTTTCTATAGTAGCATAGAATATTTCTTTTTTAATATATATATATATATATTATTTGTGACTTAATTAATCATGAAATCAAAATAATTCTCAATTTTATATTCTAACAAAATATATCTCCATGATATCATTTATTCCAATAAAGAAAAAAAAAAATCTTTTGTATAATAAACGATTTATAATTTTTAGAAATTTAAAATATTTTATTTAATAAGATTTTCTATGGCATCGTCAAATTCTAAACATTTCTTATTTTTTTTTTGTTGTTATATATCGATCTAAATTAAATGCGTCAGAATTTTTCCGGCATTTACCGGATATTCATATTATTTATTCGGAAAAGCATTATAATTGTAACGTTTTTTTTTGTCGTGTGTGAAGAAAAAAAAAAAAAGATGACTTTTCGCTACTTTAGATTACTACTGTAGGAACATCGGATATATAATCCGCTTTGAAATAAAATACATCATATTAATTGACAGGATGAAGGTTTTGAAAGTAAAAAAGAAAAAAATACCGAAGACATCCTATGTAGTATTTATAGCTCATCAACATCAAGTTATATAAACATAGTTTTCATTGAATCTCAACTATACTATTTACATGTCATCAATGAATAAGAAGTTTTTATTAAAAATAAGATTAAGATAAATGTATATTTCATATGATCATACTTGGTAATTTAACAAAAAAAATGTACCCGATCAAATAAAAAAGAATTTTCTTTTCATCTGTTATATATCAATGACATATAAAATATTTTTCCTTTTCTTTTGTAAATTTTCTATAGAGAAAATAAAAAAGAAAAACCGATTTATTAATATCGACATCACTTTGACAAGATTCAATTAACAACTGAAGATTAATAAATCTCTGATTAGTCAAATAGTAAAAAGAAAAACGTCTATTAAATTGGTTAACAACACAATACTTCATCATATATAAAACACATTTATTACATCCCCTTAGGATACAATATATTTCGGGTCGATATGGTTGACATCGATTCTTCTAGTTACGAATAATTATCTTTTATTCAAAGTATTTTCTCAAAGAATATATATATATATTGTGAAAAAGTTTTTACTATATATAATGAAATAAAGCTGCTCATATAGAAAGAAAAAAAAGAAATGACAATAATGAATTTTAACAGAAATTAATTGCAATGGATCTTAGAGGATAATATACAGCTAATTAATATAGAAACACGATATGCAAAAACGCCATAATCGCAAGTTATTATTTATTTATTTATTTATATTTATTCGGATATAGGTCATATCAACCTTTCTTTACCGGCAAATAGCTTGTCACAGCTGCGAACAAAGAAAGAATCATTATTTGTTAGATATAAACTCAACACATTAAGAATTAATACATAAAAGATTTGTTCTTTAAGAAAAGAAATTGAATAGACATATATAAATGGAATCATATAATTCATTCGACATTCCGGTTTCGTTTTTCTTTTTTTTTTTTTTAAATCCTTGAAATATTTTTAAACATTATGGTGATTTTACTCGTAATCGTTTAACATTATCAACATGACATGATTTACGTTTTGATGATGGTTTCTTTAAAGTAATCATTTTTTGTTCATATGATAAAAAATTATTTCTATTATCATTTTGAATATAAGTCGGTAGATATGTATTTGTTGTTGAAGATATTTTGATAAATGAATGTAGAAAATCACATAAATATTTACGTGATTGTAAAAACGTCGAACGTATTAATGACGTATGATATAAAGATTCATAATAACGTGGTGATTGTAATTTTTCAGTAGATATTTGCATAATACGTATACAATAATATAAATCATCCATTTGAGTTTTTTTTTGTAATCTAAAAAAAGAATATTTTCTTTATTTATGTCAAAAAAAAAAAGAAGAAATACTACATATAATATTGTTTTCTTTTTATAGATATGAATCAAAAAAAAAAGAGTCGTGTGCTTTGGCACACGCACACACACATATATAACACAAAGAAAAGCATCGTCTGTCGATAGTCTTAGTAGATATACGTCATTATTCTTCTTTTCATTCGGTTTTCCGAAAAGATTTTGTAATAGAAATAGGAAGCAAAAAAAAGAAGCCTTTTCTCTCTTTTCTCTGTTCTCAGTCTTTTTTTTCTTCTGTCTTTCTTTTCTACATCGATAAATTCTGAATCGGGTTATATCAATAATTATAGAAGAAAAAACAAAATTTTCTTTTTTTTTTTTCGTTTGAAAAAAAAAAAGAAAGAAGAATTCAGACAATATTAAATAAATACATTTTTATTTGACATATTTTCAAAATTAATAATGTATGAAAGTCATATAATTTCTTCGTTTAGGTTAAAATCAAAATCAAAGTTTTCTTTTTCTTTTTTTTTTCTTCTATCAACAAAAATATGGAAAGAGAACTGAAATGATTACATTCATCATAATTATTTAGACGGTATCTTGTTGAGTATGACACAGTAAACAAAAAACTTACTTTCTAATATCCCATTTGGTTATTAATAATATCTAAAATTAAATACATCTTTCATCTATTTCCGTTTATTTATTGTTGATATCCTGTGTTAAAGTTTCAATCATTATCAACTATACTTCGATTAAATAATTATATGAAAATCTTTATATTTTTATTTTTCTTATCAAAATATTTGGAACAAACAAAAATATAAATAAAATCTATTAAAATGAATACTTGCAATGTTTTCTTTTCTTTATTACTATACTTGTGAATAAATATATGTTCTCTATTTGTCTTGATTTTTGATTCAAATGAATTAGTTGACGTTGACAATACTAACAAACAGAACACAAAAATGTGTGTGTGTGTGTGTGTGAGGGCGAGAAGATAAATTCATGTTATAGTCAGTATATGTATGCGTGCATGCACCTCATTGATTATTCACATACTGTCTTTGTCTGCACAATCAACTACTTTTCATCTCTCTTTTCTACTCATATTATGCTTTTTGTGTGCTTCTTGAAGAATTGTAACACGCAAACTCAAAGAAAAAACAACAAAAAACGTCTTTTATTTCTCACCAACGATAAAATCGATATTCTAATGAGATTCGTAAAAGAGACAAATAGTTTGCTTTTCATTAATAATGAACACTAGACCAAAAAAAAAAAAGAAAAGAAAAGAAAAAACCATTGATTCATCTGTAAAACATCAGAGTACTTATCTGACAAAGCTCAATATCGATAATGATGAAGCATGAGACATCTGACAACATATTCATGAGGCAAAATATAAAAAAAAAACTAAAATGAATGAATACTTCAATTTACTTGGTAAATGTCATCATTCAATATTGTCACTCCATAGAGAGAAGAAAAAAGAAGACATCAAAACAATGACAATGCTCATTGTATTTGGATTATTAAGAGTATGCGTATATTCGTTGTTTGACAATATTAGTAAGTTTATACTACAGATTATATGAATTAATCAATATAGATTCATATAGAATATATATATATGTGTGTATTAAACAAGATTATTAAATGTTTTATTTAATAGATTTTATTCTTAAAGACATTAGTCAACTTCATTTATTTAGTAGATTATAATTTTATATTGATGTATTATAAAAAAGCAAAAAAAAAAAACCGATTTTTTTTTTTGTTCAAAATATTTTTTATAAAATAGAAAATTTTCCTGATTAATTTTTATTGAAAATACATGAGTTTTTACTGATAAAAAAATTATTTTGTATTAGTATGAATATTTTACTAATCATTTTGAAAATTTGATATAATATAACAGTAATAGGAATGAAAAATCAAGTCTTTTTTTTATAATAATTAATTTCAATTAACATACTCATAAATGAAAACATATAGTAATTCAAGTTTTAATTAATAAAAATTAATCATATATAAAATTTAATATGTTATTTGACTTTGTATAACATTGTTATGTTTGTCAGCAGGATTTTTATGGATCAATAAAGAAGGATGATTGTTGTATGTTTTATTTTCTTTTAGAGATTCGAAAAAATTTCCTATTACAATGTTCATCTTTTTCAGTTTCAACATTGAACATTACACTTGAGATTGTGAAAGTATATATCTATATATGGATTATTTCAAACACAACAGGAACGTAGTCACCTTTCATTTGACTTTAATTGTTTGTAAAATTGATTTTACTAAACAAGTTTTTTTTTTACTCATAGACATATATATTCGCTCTTTCAGTTGACTGTTAATTAAAAAGTAACTAACGAATCACTTCTATAGTGAGTAAAACTAGATTTCTAGAGATTTTAAACAAAATATTTGTCTTAATATTATCGAGAAATTTTGAAGAAGAATTTATAACTGTTTAAAATTTTCATTTGTACGTCTTCATATTGCATCCTTTTGAAAAAATTCATTCATGTAAAACAAAAACTTTGAATAGAGATTTGTGTAATCCCCTCAGGAATTGTCTATCCGTTGTAGTATTCAAGTCTTATAATGTACTATCTTAATCCAAAGTCTTTTTAAACTAAAATGCTTGAAATGAATGTCAATATATTTTTTTTTTTCCATAGCATGCCGTCAATACTAATTTTTTTTCTATCAAAATCTCCCCTCTGAACATAAGTCTTTATGCCTGATTTTTTCAGACTGTCTAGAGTAACTTAATCTACATATAAAAATTAATCTTGAAAAAAATTCATTATTCTAAGGTACATGTATTTTAGTTTTAAAAAATCATATGATTGAACAATGTTTTTTGCCGTAAAAATATAATTTGATAACAAATAAATTATTATTCATCTTTCATAAATATTTAATCTACAATAAAAATATCTCCATCGAAGATCGTAGAGATTTCAAAGTTTTCGCTTTCATAAGAACTTTATGAATTTACAGATCGGCGTATAAATCTAAAGTTACCTATAAAACTAAGCAGCAGAAAAGATTACCAAAATAAATTTTGCTTTCATTTAATTATAATTAACAAAACCTAGATATCTATGTCGTATGTACGCATGAATCTGTTAATAATCTGAACTTTTCTGTATCACAGCGAAAAAAAAAAATAGCTCCATAGATTGAAGATATTTGAATTTCTTATCGTAAAACTAATATATATTCGGAAATTAAAGATACTCGGTTAAAAATTGAATAGCTCAAGAACGGTGTGTCTTAGCCATTTGTCCTTTTCAGCATAGAAAGAACACAGTGGGGAACACTAATCTATATATGATGCGATAAAATTCAATAGTGATGAACGTTAGAAAAAAATAGCTTGAACTCATAGTCCATAGAATCATTCTTTTCTTCTTCTATATGAATTATAATGATGGCTAGCCACCTATCAATAGTATACAATATCCAGCTATCAATTATTTGATGATAATCGAAAGCATGAAGAAGTTCTACAGTGCTTCATTGAAATATTCTAATAATGTGAAATTGCTCTTGAATAATATATACATACAGATTATCAATCCTTCTAAAGCGAATGACAAGAGTCAATATGGATTGAAAAACAATCTAAAATGCGAAATATATCATATTTGAGCATATCGAATATCTTAGTATATAATATTTATAGATTGGACTTTTCTGAACGATCATTAAAACTGGTTCATATTTTTCTAACCTTCATCACTATTGAATTTCATTGTATCTTATATAGAATAGTGCTTCCCCATTGTGCTCTTTCTATTCTGAAAAGAACAAATCGCTAAGACATATCGTACTTGACTTACTTATTTTTTAATCGAGTATCTTTAATTTCCGAATAGACATTAGTTATGAAGTATCGTATATTATATAAATAATAAATAGTAGTTGAAGAGATTTAGTCACATCATGTCTCATAAAAACATTACAAATTACAATAAACCTTAAAATCATGCTAAATTCATGTTTGATGTTATCACTATTAGTTATTGAAGTTTTTTCATATAATTATAAATCATTGTAAAGCATTCGAGATTTTCTTTTTTTTTTAGTTTTTCATAGATTTCGATATCAGTGAAGAAGTTCTTCGCATTCAATTTATTAAAACATATTTCTTCAAGATTAATTCACAACTAAATCAAATAGATCTCAATATTTCATATTCATTACATAAAAGACTATTATCAATTCCAATTAAAACAGCACAATTAAACATCATAAAAACACATTTTTACATTAGAATATGTCTATAGAATTACATTCTAATTTTATGAAACACAAACTCTAAAAATAGTTTTGAATAATATATGATAAAAATTTGCATCCTCTCACAAACTATGACAGACGTTGTTAATATACGATCAAAGACTGTATATTAATAATGTCTCGACAAGGAATAAAGCAAAGAAATATGTCCCAAAATAGAACGAATAAAACAATGTTCTTAGGATTAATAAGGACAACTATATCTCGTGTTTCACATTTTAATTCTATACGAATTGCATTAGAAAGGTTGTTTTTTTTTGATTTGATACAATCTATAACATTTCTTACGTTAAATAAACATCGAATTCCAAAAAAAAAAAAAAGAAATAATATTTATATTTTAAAAAATTCATTATTTCATTCCATTGAATATATTTCAATGTTATGATCATATAAATATAAAATTGTTTAAATAAGTATTTAAATAATCTTTTCAAAGATATAAAGAATAATTATGTTTTTATATGATCTATTTAAAACTAAACATGAACGTAATAAATCAATCCATCTTCTATTACGATTGTATATCATTGTACGTCATAGTAAGATTAGATTTATTTGATTTGAAATTTACATTTGGATATAATGATGTTTTAATGACTAAAAACAAAATCATATATTTTATTGAAAGATACGAATCATGATCAATATAAAACATGAGCCATAGTTGGAATAAAAAATAAACCTTGGAAAGGTCCAAATCAATGAAGAAATGATGTGTCCTTCGTTTCTTTTCTTCCTAATTTTATAAGCAAAAATACAAATCAATATGACGTCAACACATCTTATAAAAAGAAAACCAAATGATTCAATATTAACCTTCATTTTCCGAGTTCCAATAAACTTTGTATAAAAAGCAGATTTAAAAAAAGAAAACAGAAAATCAATTATATAATAAATTTACAAACAATATCATGTATAATCCATCAATTGATGATGGTAAGTTAAGTTCTTACATTCATTTTACTTACTAATTTTTATTATTTAGAAGTTGCAGCTATGATGTATACAACAGTTAATACGGAGAGCAACACTACAGTCGGTGTGACTTACACTAATAATAGCAATGATGTACAAACTTCTGATTCATCTCAAACTGGTTAGAAAACTTAATTAGTATTAATATTATGGTGCACAATACAAGCAATATTTTCTACATATCAAATAGAAGAAAACAAAAAAAATGATGTATGAATATTTATTTTTTTTTCTTTATATCAAAAAAAAAAAAGATTTTTTTTTGTACGTATGTATTTTCTTTGATAAAAAAATTGAAAATAAATCTCAAATTGTGACAATCAAGAAAAAAGAAAAAAGAAAAATATTTTTCTTCAATCACATTAAAATAATAGAAGAATGAAATAAAAAAAGAAACATACATGAAGTAACTACATATTTGATATCATCTCAAAAATATATAGTATTTGAAACTTGATCAAGAAATCAATGAATATGACTTACAAAAAAAAAAAAAAACTTGGTTTATTGCTATATTTGTTTTTTTTTATGTATGTTTGAGATAAGAAAAGAAACAGAAGAGAGACTCGATATAGTATAGACAAATGAATAAGAAAGATTATTTCATAAATCGAATTTTTAACATATTTTTCATGAATTTGAATAGTATATTAAATCATACTAAATTGAATGAATTTTGTTCAATTACCATGTTAAAACACGAAGAAAATGAGTTATTTTTTTGTTCAATCAAATTTTTTCTTCTGTTTTATGATTTAAAAGTAGAAAAATGATAAAATATCAACAACTACTCTTTCTATTCTACAGTAAAGATTATTCACTTTATTACATTTATAGACGTCATCATATTGCACTTATTCAGATTATTTTCGTCTACAAAAAAGAAAAATAAAAATAAAAAAAATAGTACTCACCACTTCGTTCTTCACTATTTGTCTTTCTCGAAAGTAATATAATTGATCAAGTTGACATTTTCATGCCAAATACAGCACTAAACATTAGAAGACATGTATGCAAGAAAAAGATTTTGAATCGAACTTTTGCGATTTTGTTTGTTTCTGGAAAATCTTAGTTTTCATAAAGACATATAATTCTCATCAAACTTTATCCGATTGAATTAAAAATTGTTTTGATAGATATCTAAGACAATATCTCAAAAGTATAATTTAAACATTTTCCAAAAAGTCTCACTTAGTATTCTGAAAATCCGAATATGAAAATCAACAATGATTGTTTTTTTTACTGCTAGAGAATACTTTCAAGTATCCGTAGTAAAATTTTGAGTTCATGTAGATAAAATTTGATGGAGATTGTAAGTAATTAGAATGCAGATTTATAAAACAGTTAATTTCAGCCTGATCTGTTATACTATCTTTGAGAAATGATCAAAAAAAAAGAGGAGAAATTACTCTTAATTATAAAGCTATGGAATGGACATATTTGTTTTAGATATTTTTATTTTGTATAATATCAAGAAATTCAACAAATCTATGCATAATGTTTAATGTGTTCAAAACTTATCTATTGAAAGACAGTTGAATTGAATAGGCAAAAAAAAAGCAACAACAACATTGGTAAGATTTTCATGAAGTTTTCAACTCATGAATATAATATCATACTTCCGTTTCTTTGAAAATTCAACAAGTAATAAAAAAAATGACATTTTATTTATTAATATGTCTTCGAAGTATAAGATTATATTATTCAGATCAAATATAAATATTAACAGTTGACATATCTCTGGTTAGAATTTTAAAACAGAAAAACTTGTTAAATGAAAATACTATTTAATATATAGATTATTTTACGATAGAACTCATAGTATAGAAAAAAAACTTCTACAAGACTTCATACCATTAGATCTTCCTTTTGTACTTCTGAACGTTTTAATCTATTCGCGGATATCAAAAGAAAAATTGTAACAAAGATTTTTCGATCTAAGATTCTCCGTAACAATAGTTTTCATGTTATCTTGAGAGCTGTAGTTCAAACGAATAATTTCTTCTTAAGATATTGTATACGTAAAAACATAACTAGAGAAGAAAAGTCTAATGGCATGAACAATTTCAGAATTTCTATTTATACGTTAAGTCCTATACCTATGAACTCACACAGAGATCATCAGTTGAATAAGTCGTATCATGAGATATTAAAAAAAGAAAAGTTATTAACATAATCAAAATATAAAATACGATACAGATGCTATTTTTAATCACAGATAAATTGTTTTATTTTGAGATCACATCTATCAAGATCTATGAAACAGTGCAAATTTCTATCGTTTATACTTCAATATTCGTTTTAAATAGTATTTCTCAAAAAAAAAAAGAAAAAAATGATTCTATTTGTTAATGAATTTTTGTATTTTTTTCTTTAAACAAAGCAAACAAATTAAAAAAAAATTAAACGAACTTTTAAAAATTTATTATAATCTTGCAAATTTCTGAACTTTGTTTTTTTGGTAATATGTAATCAATTCTGAGTCAACTTACACAAACTATAATTTAAGAGAACGATTCTCATTCTTGTTTTTTTCTAGTAATTTGACATATGACACATCGTACATTTCGGCGAAAGAAAAAAAAATGATAGAAATTTTAATTATGATACACAGTTTTCTGGAAATTATCATGAATAATTATTTTCTTTTTATATCGCGATTTGTTTTTTTTTCATATTATCTTGATTGTATATATGCATATTATGATTTACCTGTCTGGTGTATTTTGATTTGCACGTCGTACACTACACGTGCATAGTATTTCTTTTTTTCATTCTTTGGAACGTATTTCTTTTTCTTTTTTTTTTGTATATAATGATTATCATAATTTTAAAATAAATGACCTATAATAGTCAATATGTTTTGTTCTTATTTGACACAGAAAAAAACAACTATTTGATCAAATTTCATATGATTTCAGGTACGAATGTCTGATTTCTTAGAATATACTTGAAAAAGTCCACATTTTTTAAAAATCATACACGAAAAATGTCTATGGCGTCATCAAGTAAAGGAAAAGAAACTTTTCTTTTCTTTCATTGTACAAAAATCATATATTATCGATCTATATAAAGACATCAATTTTCCTATAAAATCAAAACTTATTCTACAAAGAACTTCATAATCTAATACAATGTTTGATCCATATACAACTGATAGTAAGAAAAAATTATTTTTTTTTAATTTTTTTAAATTATTTAATTAAGTTTTCTCTTTTTTTTTACATTTATTTTAGCGACTGTAAGTGAAATGTTTGGAAGTAGTACTGAAGTAAATAATTAATTTTTCATAAATTTCTTTTATTTTTTTATTGTTATCTCTATTTAGAATAATAATACAATTGGTCTTGTTTATACTGAGAATAATTCAACTTCACATGGATCAATTGAATCTGTTGGTGCATAGTATTCAAGAAATAAAATTCTTTATCAACAATTAATCATACAACAATAGTAGTGAACGAGCAAAACTTAATTTTTATGTACAGTTCAATTTGCAATGAATATATGTATGTTGTTTTTATTTAAAATATAATGCAAAAAAAGAAAAAAAAAAATTTTGTTTTTTCATTGTGCATATCTAAACTATTTCATTTGAAAACATTTATTTGTATAGTGCATTGTACTAATATTACTGAATGATGACAATAAGCAACATGAAATTATATATAATTAAAATACATTTTTTGTAAACCAATTAAGATCATATGAAAGAATTTGTTGATTATTTGAAAGAATTTTTTTTGTTGTTTCATCAATATTTTCCAAAGCAAAGATTAATTCTAAAATGAAGAATAAAAAAAAAATATTCTTTTAAAAATGATTTACATATCTTAAATCATCATTCGAATGTATAGTACAACATACAGAAAGTTGTTAACTCTACATAGACATACGATTTTCTTTTTTTTTATTAATGAATTAGTTGTAATAGAATTGATTATTAATTTTTTTTTTAAAGTTTTTACAAATGATTAATTCTTTTTATGAAATATAGAATCTTGAATGAAATGTTAAAGTATAAGAATAGAAATTTGAACATTCATCATAGACATACAACAGAAATCAAATAAGAAAAAATAATTCAAATGTTTTAGAGTAAATATTCAATTGATAGTGCTTCACATATGATATATTATTGAATTTGTTTGCATATTATACTATTGAGAAAATTTTTATCACTTGACTATAAATATCTGTCCCTTTTTTTTCTTCACAAACATAATAGACTTATTAACAAGAACACTCTGAAAGAATGAAGCCGAAGAAAGGTAAGAGAAGACATACTTATGTTACAAGGTGTCTGTATTGACATAACACTGTTCAAATAATTATATAATTAAATGAATATTGATAGCAAAAAAAGAAATACAAGACACGAGTACATTTGTTAGAAGCCTTACTATTTCATATATATATATATATTTAATAGAATCTTCATTTTTGGGAAACTTTAGAAAAAGTTCTAAAAGCAACAATTACTAATATATACAAGAAATTTATATTTCAATATCATCAGTAAATTCTATATGTAACATCGAGAAAAAGCATCGAAATTGATAATAGTTCTATCATGTTTTTAATTTTTGCTTCTGTTGAGATTGTGCTAATTGTTGTTTATATACTTTGATGTGTGTCAAATACTATTATAGTAATGAATAGACATATTTTATACTGTAAAAACAAAAGAAATACGTGTTTTTAAACTCATTTATTCAATTTGATTTTGTTTATAACAATTTGAAATATTATTGTAGAGTTGGTTAGAATTTTAAAAATATTTCTTCGAAATAATCAGTATTCTATATTTAAATTAGTGCTTTTGCATTCCTATATTCTTACAATTTGATGATAAGAAGTCAGTTTTTGTGTTTTAAAAAAGAATTTTGTCTTTGTCGAGTTATTAAATTTTCTAGTAAACTTGATTTTTGTTCTATGCCTGTGATAAGCAATTATTTGTTGAATACTTAGTACCTCAACAAAAGACCATTCTTTTCGGATATCACTCAATTGCAGAGGCTCATAAACACGAACTCTTGCAAGATTTTCTTTTTTTTAGTTTTACCAAGACTTTCTTGTTGATCCAACATGAGTTTAAATGTAGGATTACAGTTAGTGTATTTCTCTCGTAACTAATCATTTTGTGAAACACGATCTGAAAGGAGTGTTGAAGTGTTTAGGGGTAGAAATTTGTACTCCCCCAGAGACCGTGACAGACGGTCACGCGATCCTCCACAGACCGGAGCAGACGAATTTACTAATTAATTAATTAATAATTAATATTTCGTTAGAAAATCGCTGAAGACTCATCACAGACCGTGACAGAGAAACTGTAGTTCTAAAGCATCAGATAAACGGTTAGCTACAAATATATCGCAAAGAAATGGAACAAAACGATTTCCATTTAATTACTAACAATAGATCCATCGTGTTTCACATATTTAATCCCGCAAGAGATTGCGCTAACAGCTTTTATTTACGATGTAGTGCAATAGTTCAATCTTAGGCCTTGCGATGAAGTAATTTATCTTTAATCTTTTTTGACACATTTATTCGAAAAGACATAATGAAAAATACTTTTCTAAGATTACTCATAGATCAAACAATTGAACAAGAAATACTTGACTATATGTCAGTATTATATTTGGTTAGGAAATTTTTACCTTCTAATGTCCATGAATTATCATTATTATTTGTATATGTATCTGAAATTTCCATCATTTGTTTAAGTATTTTTTCTGGATTTTGTATTTGTAAGAGACGAAGTAGATGAAGAATTCTATAGATAAGAAAAAGAAAGATTTCATTATATATATATATATATGAAAGAAAAATCAAAGAAATAATTACTGTTCTCGATTAATTATTTTTTGATGTTTTTCATCAAATATATTAAACCAACGTATAATATCATCTTTTAAAAACATTCCACCATTAACAAATGGTAAAAATATATCTCGAAATTCAATCCAACTAATAAAACGATCTATATAGAAAAAATTTTTTTTTTTCAATTAGAAAAACTTTTTTTTTTTTGAAAAAAAAAAGATCCAACCGGAATTTTGTTTTTTATTTAAATATAATTCTATAAATGATTGAAGATCATCATTTGATATATGTATATTATTATGTATAAATTCATTTGTTATTTGCATTGATAATGTTGATTTATTACTATCAATTTGTTTATTTTCAATATCAGGACCTAATCTTTTAAATATTCGACTAAGTACTAAAGAAGAAAAACAAAAAATAAAGAGCAAAAAAAACGATAGAATTTTTACAAATCATTCCATGATTGATCATGTCATTAATATCATCATTAGTTTTAGATGAAGAATCTAATGAAATTGATTGAGTATCATTTATTTCTTCATCTATTAAACGATTTATATACCAATGTTTATATTCAATATCATTTGAAAGAATATTATTCTTTATATCATCAACTTGTTTAATAGATTCTATTAATTCTACAAAAAAAAAAAAATTTTTTTAATATTTGTTTTTTTATTTTCTTTGTTTTATATTTATATATACCATCAACAGTTAATTTACCATCTTGATTTTTATTTAATTTATTACTTATATTATGTACAAGTTCACTTGTATTATTAACTTGAAGAAGTTCAAGTAATTCTGAAAAATAAAATTTTAGTTGTTTTTTTTAGAATTAAAAAAAAAACAAAGATTTTTTTTTTTGTACCAATTATTTCTTCTAATGATAAATAACCATCTTTCTTTGTATCGAATAAATTAAATAATTTTTGTATATGTCGTTCTGTATAACGACCAGTTAGAATAGGAAAAAGTATATCACGAAATTCAATCCAATCAAGTGTTTGTAAACGAACTTTTAATTATTAAAATAAGAAAAGATAAATTTCAAAAAACAAACAAAAAAAAAAAAAGAAGAATTTTACTTTTTTCTTTAGCTGGTTGTATAATATATTTTTTAAGAAGACCATCGAATAATGTTCGTATAAAAGTATCACCAAATTCAAGACGATCAATTAAATTATTTGAGAAATCATCATTGATTTCAACGAGATCTTCACTATTGGCTAATTCGCTATATACACAACGAAGATCTAATAAGAAAATAAATATAATTTGAATGACAGTTTTAGTCATATTTTTAGTATACAAAGTAAAACCTCCCATAGTGGACACTCCGCGATCCGACGGAAAGATTTTTGCTGGGACTGAACCTCTGCATAGTGGACACTTTTTCTCGGTCCCGAGGAGGGATTTTTGCTGAAGTTGAACCTCTCTATAGTGGATACTAACCGATATTGAACATTTTTGAGAAGTCTCATTCAGTGTCAACTAAAGAGCTTTCCTGTATTCTAACAATTGTTGATTTTTTTGTATTTCAAGAAGAATAATGCATGAGGAGAGAAGTAACAATGAGCACTGGTTAGTTATCTTATTCCCTAACACCCTTCAAATTCTTAGAAAATGCGCCCGCTTCTTCGAAAAACTTCGCTTTTTGAAAAGACCAAACCTTCCTATAGTGGACACTTTCAAAAAGTCACCAAGGTATCCACTATAGAGAGGTTTTACTGTAATATAAAGATAATAGCGATTTAAGATATACTTCTTTTTTCTTTTTTTAAATGAAATCTTGCTTTAAATTTGTACTTCGACATAGTGACTAATACAGATGTCAGTTTTTCTTCATCATCGAAATTGAAAGACGATGTTTCGTAATCATCACTAAGCTGATATTTAATATGTATTGTGTTAAATTACAAAAGTTTATTTTCTGATTATCGAAATACTTGTAAGCATCAATTGTTACTATATTTATTTAAAGATAATTTGATAGATAAGATTTTGTATATCAAAATCAAACCAAAATATGAAATATTATTCTTTTATGAAAATAATCTTTTCAATTCATTGAAAGAAAAATTATATTTTAACGATTGAATTTATTATTTTCGTGTTTTCTAGAATTTTTTAAAAATTAGAAATAAAAAGTTTTTTTTTACTTAAGAAATAAGAACTTGTGTATGTCTCTCTGACTAAAGAAAAAAAAACTTTACTCGAATTTCAAATATTTTATAAAGAGCTTAGTGAATAAATATGACATTTGATAATCAACTGATTTATATGATAAAGTATTAAATCAATATTTAAAGACCTTTTTTTTTTTTTTTTTTGAAGGCTAAAACTATAACATTACGTTATGACTTTATTTTCGTTAAGAACGCTAACGTAACCTAGTGTTAAATATTGTTTAGAAAATTATGAAATATATATCGAATATGAATATAATGAAAAACTTTTCTTATACTCAGGTTTTTGTGAAATCGAAATTGACAAAAGCTAAAATAAAGACAATATGAAAAAAAAACAAAATAAAATATTTTTAAATTTTTGAACACTCGTATGCTGTTTTCTTTTTTTTGCTCTTAAATGTTAATTTTCATTATATATATAAAATAATCTGTTTAAAAGACCTTTAGAATATTGATAATAAGTAAATTCTGAACAAACCTTGCATAACAGCTTCTAAATGTGATTCATTAATACTTTGAGATGATTTTTCTTCTAATTTTGGAGAAGAAGATAAAACAGTTTCTAATATGAAAATAAATATGTTTAATGAAAGAATGAAATTTTTTCAAAAAAAAAATTTACCTTTAATTAAATCAGTATTATTACCTTCAACATCAACTAATGAAGTTTTCGTTAGTTCTTCATTATTTAAATAAATAGAATCATTTATATTACCATAATAACCAGGTGAGGAGATAAAATTACTTATATTATCCTCCTCAATTGTATAAAGATCAGAAGAACTCATTTGTTCTTCTGTTTTTGTTTCGTCTTGTTTTAATATTAATTTATTATCTTCAAAAGGATTTACATTTTCTTTTATTTCATCTTGTGATATAGGAGGTGTATCAAATGATAAAGATTCTTGTCGGTCAGTTTGATTAATATTATGTTCGTCATTGGGTAATGATTTAATAGATTGACAATGATCATGGTCATCAATGTCAGTAGTTGTTATATGATCAGTTTCATTTATGGATGATTTAGTATTTTCATCATGTTGATCATTGTCATATGATGATTTAGTTAATTCTTGTTTTTCATCAATTTCTTCTGCTATAAGAAAATGAACATAATAGATTAGAATTCTAATTTATTGATAAGTTCTATTTGAGTACAAAGAAATCTATCGAATTAAGTTATAGAGTCAGAATAGAAAAACTAAATATAACATGTTTTATAGCAAATCAAGACGCCAATTTATCATCATTTTTCATTGATGGTGAATCTTGGTATCGTCAATAATATCGATCATAGAGCGTCTAACGACACGTCAAACTTCATTAGATATTATCTGAACTGTAGTACTACAAAGCATAGTATTTGAGAGGTCTCGAAGTCGGTCGGAGCTTCTCCTCAGTCACTCTCTCCTGAGTTTCGTTCTGTAGGCCCTCACAGATTGAATAATTTCGACAGAAAAAAAAATACTTAGTTAAAATATAGCTAGAGGTGTAAGCCGAGGAATCAAACGGTGGCGGCTGTTTTAATGGTTTAATTTTTTTCCATGATGGCGGCGGCGGCGGTTACTGTACTTTTTGCTTTTCTGCACCGGCGGTGGCTTTGACAACCAAAAAAAGACGTTTTCGCTCCTAAAATACGAGAAAATGACTACTCGCATATGTATCGATGTTAATGGCGGCGGCGCAACGGCTGAACTCACGTTTTCACAGCGACGGCGGCGCAGCTGGATGGCTTACATCTCTAAATATAGCCTCTTCAGTGTAATTTGTTATGTTAATTCTGAATATCATGTACATTTAGCACTTAAATCAACTTCCGATAGTCAAAATATCGAAATATAGTATTTCAAGAAGAATATTGATTTAGATTTATTTTTTGTGCAAAGTTATTTTGAACAATTGGAAAAAAGAAAATTTTTACAAATGTTTCGGACTGATACTAAGGAGCACAATAATCAAAGTTTGGTTGTATAGTCGTCTATCAGTAATTTGACTTTAGTTTCTACAAAGTTTTATGAAAAGAAGATTAAAGCTCTATAATACGATATATTTGATTTTTTTAATTATACATATTCCATCAAATCCTACAGGATCCTTTTGAAATAATCTTAATGTACAAAGTTGTACAAATTTCTAATTTCTAATTTTTAAATAAGATAGAAGTCAAGTTTATTGAAAGATTAAACAAAAACTTACTGATAGAACTTTCTGTAGTATTGTGTGCTACTGATGCTATTGATTCGTGTTCATCAGCAGGTATAGACAAAATTTCTTCTTGAATATTTTCATCTATTACATTCGTTTGTTCAATTTCTGAAGATATCTGTTGTTCTTGTGATAATGTTGAAGCTTGCTGTTGACTATCTAATGAGATGGATAGATTTTCTTGAGATAATGGACTGATTGATTCAGTAAGTATTGGTTGTTCATTAGACGAAATATTTGATATTTGTTGATTTTCTGAAGATATGAAAGATGATGGATGAGTATCAAATGAAACCGATGGATCATTTGGTGAAGTAGAATTAGTAGGTGATGTTGATGATTTTTGACTTCCTGAAAATAATTGTGTGTCCACATGTGAAATTTTTGATAATGCTTGAACTTCTTTTAGAATTGCAGTGAGTGATGAATAATCTTCTGAACGTTGTTCTTCATCTTTTAATTGTGTTGAAGATAATGGATGAATTTCAGAAGAATCTTCAAAAACAACTGAAGCATTTGGAGATGCTTCAAGTTCAGATAATGTTTCTATATCTGTGGAAACAGAAGCCGATGATAAATTCGAAGTATGTGATGATTTTTGACGATCTTCTCTATTTGAAATAGGAGGTCGATACATTTGTGTTAAGATTGGAACTGTACTAGTGAGCGGTGCTTTATTATCCGTTGATGCAGTTATTAAGTATACTTGAACTCCTGCAGCTGTTGTTGGTGATTGAATAGGATCAGAAAATATTTGTTGATCTTCTGACAATGTAGACCATTGAGAAGTTTTTGGGATTTCTGATAATATTTCATGATTTTTTAAATCTGTTGATGGTGTATGACTGATTGGTGATGCTTGCTCAGTTGGAGTTGTTGAAATCGGAGATTTCAAAGTTTCTATTGATGTTTGATGTGTTTCTTGTAAGCTATTATCTATAGATTCTATTTTTTCTTCATGATTTTCATTGAAATTTTTATTTGATTCTTTTGATAAACTTTCTTGATGATCTGATTGAACATTATTTTCCATTTTTTCATCATCCAAATTTTTTATTGTCGATAAAATTTCATCAACATGAGCATTTGCCTTTTCGACCATTAATTCATATTCATTTCGATTTGTTAAAACCTTAAAAAAAAAAAGGCAAACTTTAAGATCGTCAAACATCGAAGAAAAAATTATGATTTCATCTTTTTTTTCATTTTCAAAAAAATTTTTGTCAAATATAAGTCATAATAAAAACAATATAAATTTGATATTTGTAATTAACACAAGAAACATCATCAAATTACTATATACTTAATCAAATGAAAATTTTTCTTAGCGGAAACTCTCTCGTACTACCTTAAGGTTTCTTCTTCGGAAAATTTTATCTATAGTCCATCCATTATGAGTTTCCGATGTAAAAAATATTTCCTTAAAACATATTATTTAAAAGAAATATATATTAATTTCTACTCAATAATACATAAAGAAAATTATGATTTTCATTGTTTTGTTTTTCTATTCTTACTGAAGAATTTTTATTTTTTGGTATAATTGTTGTTCGTAAAGTCGTTGGTCGTATAGGATATTGATTATTAATAAATTGTTGTTTTTGTTGTTGTTTTCGTCGATATTCACCTTCTAAAACACCTCGATAAAGTGTTAATTCAAATTTTAAATTTCGATCATATTCAGCTAAATGATTTAATTTTTCATTTAAACTTTGTAATTCAATTTTACTTCGTTCTAATTCATTATCTTTTAATATTAATTCTTGCATACGTTCATTACGTATTGAATATAAATCAGTTTCCTATTTAAAATAATAATTAACAAAGAAAATTTACTAATATTAATTTAACTTACCATAGCAAGAATTTGTTCAGATAAAATTTGATTATAATCATTAAGTTTTATTAATTCTTGTGTAATAGATTGATGTTCATTTTGAAGTTTTTCACATTCATTTTGTATAGAATGTTGTTGATTAATTATTGTTTCATTTATATTTGCATTAGTTAATGAATTTTCTTCAATATTAATCATTATTTGTTTATATTCATTTTCCATTTGTTTTAATTGAGTTTTATTAAGTTCATTAAAATCATCACGTATACGTAATATAAATTCATTTAAACATGATAATAAATATTCATTTGCTTCTGTTTGTGTTAATAATATTGTTTGATGTTCTTCATCAAGAAATTCTTTTGCTGTATGCATTAATTTAAGTTCTTCACGTAATGTTTGAATTTCAAACTAAATAAAAAACGAAGACAATATATAAATCATACAATAAAATTAATTTGTTTTTTATTGTGTACTTCAGTTTTTGATCGTTCAATACAAATTTGTTCAAGTTGAATTTGTAAATCATCAACTTTATTCATAGCTTGTTGATGTGTTTGTTTTTCATTTTCAATATAATTATATAAATTTTGTAATTGTTCATTTAATATTTTTAATTCTTTTTCAACTAAACATTGTTGTCTTTGTAAATTATTTAAACGTTTAATTTGTTCTTTTTCATTACTAGCAATAAAATTAATTCGTTTTTTAAGTTCTTCACGTTCATTAATAAAACGTTTAGCATGTGATTTAGATTTATAACGTTCAATATGAGCTTCTGTTAATATATGACTTTCTTGTCGAAAATTTTCTGGTAAATATTTTAAATTATTTTCTAATATTTTTATATAATTTGTACGTATTTGTTCAATATTATTTTGTAATTGATGATTTTCATCATCTATTTTTTTAATATCATTTAAATATGTTTGAAGATTTTCATTAAGATTATGAAATTCTTCTGTTTGTAAATTATATGCAATATGTGATTGTTTAGCTCGTAAAAAGATATCATCAACGAGATGATCATCGATAATATTGAACATGTCGATTAAATCTAAAAATAAACATGAAAAGGATATTCTTTTTTTTTCTTTTCATTAAACCTGTTGATTTCTTTCTGTCTTCAATAAGTAAGAAAAAAGAAAAAAAAAAAAAGGTGAATATCTATTAATACTTAATATTTTCTTTTTTTTCTTCTATATTAACTAAAAACAGGACATAGCTAAGCATCCTGTAAAACGTTATAGATAAATTCCAGTTCAATGCACAATATCTTTTTTTTTTTTGTTTCTTGCCTGAAAAGATAATTTTCGGATTGTGATTATTTTTAGTGTGGATATGGTCTTATTTTTCTTTTTTTAAGTATCGTTTTCTATACTTGAAAACTCAAGTTTGATCGTTTGAAAAAGAAAAATAATTTTGACTTTTAACTATATAAAGTTATTATAACATAAAATTATTAATGTTTTACAATTATAATCGATTGAACTCACCAGAGAATTTTAGTTTTCTAACCTAAAATAAGACACTAACCATATATTCTAGACATGCAATAGTTCACATAATCTATAAAAAAAAAAAAATCCTACTTTAGAAAAATTAATACGCACCTTGAACAAAAAATTTCCTTTTTTTTTTAGCTAACAGCGACTTACCTTTCTTTTTCTTTACCGAACACTTTTTTTTTTTTTCTTATCAAATGAAAAGACATTTTTCTTCTTTTCTTTCTCGTTCAGTTTATTAGCCTGAAAAAGAAATAGCTCAAACCTACCATCATACGGCTAACGGCAACACAAGCGGATTTTTAACTAAATGCACACACACATAAATCACATGTATTATATAGTCTATATGCCCATTATATTAGCATAGTATTCGTAATTATGCACGATAATGATGCCAATCATTCTATAATAATGTATATTTCTGACATAGTTTGAGCATAAAAAAAGCAAATATTATGAATATAAGCAATATGAAATTTAATGTGATTGACATTCATATTGAAAGATAGAAAAATAATGACACTTACTTGATTTTCTTTTTGCAAAAATTATTAATAAAAATAAATGAATAAAATCATGTATTTTATATATATATTATTATAGTTTAATTATAAGAAAGTTTTTTTTTTCTTATTTACTTGTTCCAAGTTAATTTATGGCTTTGATATTTTCTCCGTCTCTAATTTTTTAGCAAACAAAAAAAAAAAAACCTCTCTAATATATATATATCTGTTCATGACATGACATATTTATTTTTGTTAAAAATGATGATTATTTATTGAATTATACTTTTTTTTTTTCTTAGATTGTATTTATCATATAACTATAAAACAGAATGATACATTAATTTATTAAGTTGACATTTATAATAAATGATATATTCATTAAGAAAAATTTTCTTTTATTCAAATACTAATTATAGTCATTTATTACTCTTTATTTATATTTTTCAAATAATTATATTCTTATGTTATAAAAAAGAAAGAGTAAAGACGAAACTGATAAACATTTTTTTTTTGATACTATATGAATTATTACTTACCTGTAAATAAGTCTTAAAGAACATCCGAACAAAAAAAAAAATTGTTCGCTCATTATCACTATAAGTTTTTCACGCATTGACTACTAATGTTAGTTGTTACATGCATAAGTATATGTAAAAATAATATGAACATGCAACGATTCGTGCTGAAATATTTTGCTAATTCAATTGAATAATGATAGTATTTATATGGTTCATTTTTATAAATGAAAAAAAAAAAATCTTATAATATTATTTCATCAGGCAAACATAGTAATTATGTAATATGACTTTTATTCAAATTTTAGATATGTAAGTAACTTGAAAATTATGTAAAATTTTCTAAGAAAAATTAATTGAAAAAGTGATGTGATTTTCCATCGAAAAAAATATTTAATTATAATTATTATTAGTTTAATTACTAATGATTAACAAATTTTTTATTATAAGTTATTAAAAAATATTTAGTGATATACATGTTAATTATAGATCATATAAACAAATGATTTAATATGTAATGTGTTCTAATATTTTTTTTGAAATAAATTTTGATAGAAATATAATCGAAATCTATGATTATCATTATTCAAGAAAGTTAACTCGGGATCATCGAAATCTATAGAAATTTTCGAAAATGATATTCAAAAGTTATTTCTCTTTTGATCTATACAAGAAACTGTCTTATTTCAGTATTTCTGAAACTTCACAAAAGTCTCTATGTAATGAAGGACTCGACATTTGTGTATGTTATAATGGTCTTGAGTTTTCTCTCTTTGAATTCTGAAAACCACAAGTCTCTATGATATATTTTTCAAAATTTATTCAAAAAAACAACAGTGACACACAATATAGTTTGAAATCGATGGTACTTTGAACATAATTTTTGATCTTTGTAAAAAAAAGAAAATCAAATCATAACAAATCTTTGCTTTTATTTATGACTAATATAAATAAATATATTACTTATTTTACAATATTTTCTGATCTAAATAATAAAAATATTTGTAAGATTCAATAAATTGAATTTCATTTGTATGTAATCAAATATTCAGCATATGCTTGAGCATCATGATATATAACGAATATATGATCTTCATCAGTAGTTGAATCAAATCCAAGTGGTCGAGTTTTCATCGAACTATTTCCTCGAGTAGTTTTTCCTATCAAAACTCGTGCTATAAACATACATCGTTCTCCATTTATGTTTGGTCTAGTATACATATGACTATAACTTGCTTTCGATGAAAAATAAACTCCATAACCATAAGCAGTTCCTAAAAGTAAAAATATAACAATAATTAAAAAAAAATGTACAAAAGAACAAAATTACCATGAACTCCAATAAAACTTCTATTGAAACAATCTTCAATAATTGAATGTGCAGCTTGTACTGGACAACCATGATATAGAATTCTTTCTGTATTATTTTGAAGACGTTTTTTGAATTCTTTCTTATGTGCTAAATATTGCATATACCATCGTTCATTTTGAATTCGTTCAATTTTGATTATTTGTGTATAGTTTTCTTTCATTGCTTCATTAAAATTCGAAACAATAGATCTATATTCATCTGTTTTGCGAGACAATCGAAAGCGAATTTTTTGTTCGTTTGATGTCTCCCATGTTGATGGCAGATGATAAGTCTTTGATTCACGTAGACCTATGTAAATTAATTCATAGAATAATATTTATTTTGAAATGTTATATTTTCAATGTAAGTGTTTTCTTTTATTTTCTGTTGTTTTTTGTCATAGGAAAGTAAAAATCGAATAAATGAGCTATTTCAAACTAAGAAATACAGATTTTTATCTTGTTTGAAGATATCAGTTATTTGTGTATTCCGATAAACTTTTAATTAATCTAAATTGATTATTATTCAGTTTTTACGAGAAATTTTATTTTTCAATAAATGATTTTGTTTTTTTATATTTGTCAACTTAAGAAAAATTTACATCTTTTAATTTTTTGATTTATAAAGAACTCTATGACACAAAGATATTCAATAAAATCATGTAACTGTATGGTTAATTCATATGCTAAAGTTCTTAGACATCATCTCTTATGTAAATAACTACGTGTGCACATAGTTTTTCCACTAATAGGAAATGCGTATTTTACAAAAGAACACAGCAAAGAACTAATCCATTTTCATATTTCATATTGTCTATTTTGCACTCGTTTCGACAAAATGAGACTATATTATACTCTATAAATTATAAGCTTGAAATTGCCCTTACGTTACAGAGTGAATTTATATTCTGTCAACGCAATTTTTGCGGGTTAGAATGTGAAACACAATATGTCGTTGTTAATCCTACGAATAGTATTTCATTCTCTCTCTGTTTTGGGACAAATTTTTTTCAAAAAACCTTTAATAAATACTTCAGAGGTATTATATTGAAAAACTTCGATATTTCAGGAAAAGAAATATTTTATCTTCCTCGTCTGTATTTAAAAAACAGTAACACTTACTCTGATCTTCATTGATACATAAATTTGTTGAATCTTTTTCTACAACTCTGGTTTGTCGATATTCTTTTGATGATAATTGTATATTATTTGATTGAAAAAAATCATAAGTCGTCGTATCAACAACATATAATTTCACATATCTTTTTTCTTTTGCTGTACGTAATTTTTCTAAAATAGCTGTACTTGAAATATCATCAATAAATTCATCATCAATTTCAATAATTCGATCACATTTACGTAATAATGTTTTAGCAGCTGGTGAATTCGGATATACTTCTTGAATTAATATACCAACATCTGTTAGAGGATTAACAGTTTGAAAACCAAATGATGTAGCACGCCTATTTAAATGTATTTCACAAGTACGTGGTTGATGTTTTGGAAAGTTTTGATAATCTATTGGCATTGTCGATGGTGTTTCAATAGTTTTGGCAAATCTAAAATTGATCGATTGATTTTTTTCTTTGAATAATTCATAAAAATCTTGGTCGATAACAAGTAAATCAATACGACCATCATAATCTCGTGCTTTTTTAATAGTATATTTTAGGTCATCATAACTAGATTCACGCATATTTTTATCATTAACAGCCAGAATAACATCACGTATTCTGAGACCAGCAGCAACTGCTGGACTATTCGATTCAACAAGTTGCACAATATGTGGTGGTAGTGGTGCAGGTTCGAGAATAAAACCAAGTCCAGCATAATTATTCCATAAACATAATCCACAACGACGAAGATTAACATTGTTCATGTCTATAGCCATGATTTTTAAACAAATTCAATAATATCTGAAATATTTATTGTAAACATATATTAAATTATAAATAGATATTCTAATGCCTTGCAACCATTGCAGACTAAAGGAAAATTTACTATCTAGCTAGTTGTGAAAAAAAATACGAGCACAAAACTAAAAATCTTTCTCACTCGAGTTACACTAGGTCATGAGCTTATCAAAGTGCATTTAGTTTTTTTTCCCAATATGTCTTAATTAAATCTATCACTCGACTTCTTCTTTAAGAATTATTTTCTATGTTCATACTGCATCATTGAAACGAAAGTATGGGGCTGAAATGTAATATTATTGCAAGGGGTGATGAAAAAAAGGTTCATGAAAAGTCATACATTAAAGTTCAAGATTCACTTAATCTTGATTTACAAACGTGCATGAGATTGAATTATTGTTTTTACTTTCAATCGTCTTGGATGTGTGTTTTGCGTTCTTGACAATGTGCCATAAAAGCAAGAGAAAATTTAAAGGAAGTATGAATTGCGATGCTTTGTTTTTTGAATGAATTAAAAAACGCACGTGAATCGTGTCTTTTTCTTTTCTTCTTTAGAGTTGCAATTTTTTTTTCAAACTTCATATTGAAAGTGTTGCATGTTATTTTTAAACTTGGAAAAAAAATTTACTTCCAACAAGCCCTGAATATGTATGCAACGAGTGCGTGAACTTAACCCTTTGAGGACGGGTGGGTGATATTTGTCCCACCTATTTTTCAGTACAGAAAATGTTTGTTCTATGTTAAACTGTTACGATCTCTGAGGGGAAGAAGAAACAATAATGAATCATAATGTTTATCCCTAGACTTTGTGTTTCATAAAATAATCAGAATGTTTTTGTGTATTTATGATTTTCATCGACAACTTGTATAGATACATTTAAAAGCTCATCAAACTTTGAAGTTAATCTCTACTGTCGAGATCAAATCATGTCAAATGGTGATTTCGAGAAATAAAAGAAATGTAAAGATAATCTTTTTTTTTCATTCAATAATTGTTTATCCATAAATACTGTTTAATCTAATTTTTTTTCAACTGCATATGCTTCTTTCAATAAGTCTAAGTAGTTTTTCTTTTCATTCCATAATATTCAACGAATTGATGATAGAAACCCAGTTGAAGATCGATTACAACTAATCAATCTAACATCAATAAGTGATTTGGGTCAGCAATTGGAATATTCAAGAGATTGTTACATGACATATAATTGAACCTTACATTTAATGCATAGGTACCGGTACAGTGATGCTGATATATAGATATTTTTGGGGAAATTTCAAAAAACATTATACATCGCTAAAAATAACATCGGTATCCCATGAGAGAAATTTGCTACCATTTACAATCATATCGATGAACTATGTTATTCAAAAAAAAAAGAATACTATACAACAATAATTTCATATTTTAATAATAATATTTGAAATTGAACAAAAATAGTTTGCATTTAATCTTTTATTCTTGACGACGATCGATGAAAAGGTTAGTAGAATAGAGTATGGTTTCAAAAGAATTTCTTTCATATTTTATAAAGAATAGAAGACCTGGCAAATAGTGGTCTCGTCGAATTAGTCAGACATAAAACTATTAAGAACAATACTGTTGAACTATACCGATTAATGAATGATTATTTAAATGCACGTACACATTAGAGTTTCTTCTCTCATTCATCGTGAGTTAATGTTCGTCTACCACAATATATAGATGATTATTCACGACAGGGAATCAGAGGATCTAATGCCTGGAAAATCAATAAAAATTCTTCGAATCTTGGCAGTGTGTCGGAACAGTAGAAAGACGATGGGAATACAGAATCCACTGTTTTCACATTTGTGTTATCTGAAATCGTATCTAGTAGTTGCATTTCAAGAAGTGAACGCATGCTAAATTGCAATTTCCAATAAATTTAAATATGGGTGCATCACTATACAATCGATAATATAAGTTAAGCAATACTGGTGCACACGTCGATGCTAACTATCATCGCGTAGCTGAAACTCATTTTTAAATATTTAATTGAATGAATATAATTCCAAATTTGGCATTTGGTTGGATCAAGAAATTTATTTCATTATGACAAAATATGGAAGTAGTATGCATATCTTTGTCGTTTGTTTGAATGGAAAAGTTAATTCCAATGTTGAAGGTTTTTCTAGTCAAAATTAGTGTCGTCCAAGCATCGAATTAAATTTCCAAGAAATTATTTTCATAGCGATATAATTTGAATTTTCTGCCGATGTGAACCTCCTATCTCATTCAACAAGCAAAGGTGTCGTCAATAGCTCATTGATTACAGTCCAGTACCGTTGCGCACTTTCTGAATGGAGAGTGTAGGTATGAGTTTCTATTCAATCCATCTTTATCCCATTTCCACTCTGTTTCACACTCTAGCAATCATTTACCATCACACTTGCATCGACTTCCACAGTTTTTCAATGCGATAGTACGAACACAAAAGATTTTTTCTGAACTCACGAATCGATCATTTGTTTGCTGATAACAAAAATCTATCGTTATTGTGAACATTCCATTTGTCAAACGTCTCAAATCAACTTGTATAGGGTGTGGATGTGGTAGGGTGTGGATGTGGCAGGGTGTGGGTGTGGGCGTTTGGTTAAAGTATTATCATCCTACTCCACTACACTCACACCCACACCCTCAATTCACCATAGTCATACACATACCGACGGCCACACATTTATAATATGATTGTATGAAAAGAAAAGATTTTATCTTAACTTACCACTCACTCATCTGTTTACTGAGAAGAAAGTTTTATCATGTTTTTTTAATATTTGCTTTGTCAAATGTATGAAGACATGTTCTATAATTGGTCTAAATATGATTCAATGGGATATTCAGGTTTTGTGGGATACCTGAAAATTTAATTGTATTTCGTCAATCAATTATTTGTTTTTACAAAATATACTTACGAAATTTTAGGTTTGAAAAAAAAAATCACAAAGAAGCTTTGCTTTTATTGAAGTTAAATGCACTTAAAGAAATTACTTATGTTACAATGTTCTCTGGTTTAAATCATAAACATATTTGTAAAATTCGATAAAGTATTTGTCGAAATTCATTTGTATGTAATCAAATATTCAGTATATGCTTGAGCATCATGATATGTAACAAAGATATGATTTCCATCAGTAGTTGAATCAAATCCAATCGGTCGAGTTTTCATTGAACCATATCCGCTGGTAGTTTTCCCTATCAACACCCGTGCTATAAACATGCACCGTTCTCTATTTGCGTTTGGCTTAGCATATCCATGACTATATGCTGCATTCGATGAAAAGTAAACATTACTATTCACTCCCGCAAAACTTCTATTGAAACAATCTTCGATAATTGAATGTGCAGCTTGTTCTGGACAACCATGATATAGAATTCTTTCTGTATTATTCTGAAGACGTTTTTTGAATTCTTCCTTATGTGCTAAATATTGCATATACCATCGTTTATTTTGAATTCGTTCAATTTTGACTATTTGTGTATAGTTTCCTTTCATTTTTAGATCAAACTTCGAAGCAATGGGAGACCATGACGTAAATGAATTACAAAATAATTCAAAAACACTGAGTTACAAAATAATTCACTTTCTATTAGTTTCTACCAGGGTCTACCAGGGTCTACCAGGGTCTAGGGTCTACCAGGG